TTCCCCCTCCCCCTGCCCTGCCCCACCCTCCTTTTCTTCCTTCTTCTCATCCTGTGTCTCCCCGTGTCTGTCCTTCTCTGCTCACAGGGCTTTGGGTTTGTAACTTTTGAAACTAGCTCAGATGCTGACCGAGCCCGGGAGAAGCTGAATGGGACGATCGTAGAGGGACGGAAAATTGAGGTGCTCAGATAAGTGTGCTGTGGGGTGACACCCCACCCAGTTCTCTGCCACCCTGTGGAGCACCAGACCAGGGTCCCCCCCAAACCCCCGGAACAGGAAGTTGGGGGGAGGGCAGGGCCACACTGAGGCCAGAGCCCAGCCCATCTCTGTCCTGTGGGTCTAGACGTCAGCCTCCCCCAAGGTCCCCCCTCCCTTTCGTCTGTCTCTCCTTCCTGAACGAGAACCCCCACCTGGGGGGTCAGCCAGACCCTGGGAGGACCCCAGAAGTTGTGTGTGTGAGGGTTGGCAGCTCCAAGGACCACGGCCAGGCCAGTCTGCCCTCCAGCTGGGAGCGGCCATTGGTCCCCGACGCCCCTCACAGGGAGCAGCAGCTGCCTCCTGCCCCCCACCCCGCATGCTGCCTGCCCTCACCCCACGGGGTCAGCAGCAAGTGGCCAGGGCCTAGATGGGGACCCAGCCCAGAGGAGCAGCAGGAAGAGGAGGCAAGGTCCCCGACAGACAGCCAGGGGAGGGGGAGGGAGGGCTCAGCGGCCAGCACGCAGCCCGTTGGAGAGGTCTGGGGGGAGGGTTCCAAGGACAGAGGAGTGGGGGCCCTGACTTGGCCAGGCTCTGGCCCAGCCCTTGGTGGCACCTGAGGCTGTGGCCCAAGGCCCCCCAGGGCTGACTCGGGGCCCCTTCCTGGGTTCCACGCCCGGCCTGCTCTCTGCTCCCTTCCCAAGGGGCCTTCTTCCTCCTCCTCCTACTCCTCCTCCTCCTCCTGCCCGTTCCCGCCCCTGGACAGTGACCGGGCCTAGAGGCCTGGAGAGTAGGACCACCCCATGGTACTGCCTGCCCCTCCCTCACAGGCCTTGTCTCCCATGGGCACATCAGAAAG